GGACCTCGCACCAAACACCTCATGAATTCTAGGAGGCCTCAACCGCAAAGGGCATGGCAGGAGCGTGGAATCGATGGTCGTATGATCAATATCTGTATACGAAATTTTCTTGTATGTAATTCTATTTAAATAAAATAATATTAATATTTTTTTATTATTTCTCAGTTTTTTATTATTATTATTTAATTATAGATTTACTTTTAAAAAATAAATAAAATGCACATGCATTGGCGTCAGACCAATTCGCACATGCATATAGCAAATGCACATAGGCGCCAATGTAATGAATGCATGCATATGGCACCCATACATAGGCGTCAATTGGTCAGATGCTCCTTCAGAAAGTCATAACATAGTTGTCAATTGGTCGGATGCTCCTTCAGAAAGCCATAACATAAGCGCTAATTGATTTGACACATGCTCTACAATTTTATTTTTTGAAACATGAAAAGTTTGGTATATAGTTAGAAAAGATTATTATTTTGAAAATTAAGTTGGAAAAATGGTTATTTGAAAGAAAAAAAATATATTTAAAAAACCTGTATTATTTTTAAAAAAATCATTAAAAAATATTTGTAAACTATTAAAAAACCATTTTTAAGCTAATATGGTCCATTTATTGATTAAATTTAGACCATTTCTTAATGCACCCCATATGCTTCTTATGCACCACGCGAAATTCCATAAATATTCCTAGTTTATGGAGATGCATCTCCAGACACATCAAAAGGTCTGTTTACATTAAAATATTCTGGAGATGCATCTCCGAAATATTTTGAAGGTTAAGTCGCGTCAGACTCTTCTCCTTCCTCATTTCACATTTTTCTCAAACTCAACTCAACCTCTCTAAAAATTATTCTCTACACCAAGTCAAATTTCATTAAACAAGGCTCAAGGGAACTCAAGGGAATATCAATCTTCATATGTAACATCATCCAACTTCATCAAAAACATAAACTTCTTGTATGTTTTTTGAGTTTTCGATAAATGTTTGAGTTTTGGTTTAAATGAGTATAAATCAATGATTAGGGTTAGAAATGAGTAGAAATCACATTTAAGATAGTTTACCCATAATGTATTAGTTGTTTGTTGGATGAAAATGATGATCAAAACAATATTTTTTGAGCTTGCATGTGGTACACATTACGCCATTGACGCAACTTCTGAGTTGTAGAAAATTTCAGAGATGCATCTCCGGAATTTTTCAGCGTTTAATTTTCTACATAAAATTCTGTAGATGCATCTCTGGAATGTCCTGCCGTGTTTTTTTTTCTTGTTTGTGTATTATTTGCATGCACTAATTGTCTGCCTTACTTTAACTTACAGGCATAAAGATAATAGACAAGATAGACTAGGGCATGGCAGGGTTGCTCTGCATGCTTCCGTTTGGCGAGAGAAGAGCCAATAGGTTCTGGAGGCTCTTGGTCCCTTTGGTCAGGTAAAGTCTTCTACTTTTGGAGATCGTATTTCTCCTTATGTCACTCCATATTTTTCTTCCCGTAGAAGAGGAGATTCACCATCTGACGCATCATTCATCCCATCCTCCCGTAGGCGTCAGGTTTTACAAGTGCTACCTATTCGAACTGCAGCAAAGCGGTAAGAAGCAAAAATTTATTTTTGGAAGGATTCTCTCTGTGGTTTATATCGTCTCCACAGGGATCGGTGCGAGGGAAAGAACGGCGCTCAACGGTCTCTACATTTCTAAGCTTGTTGTGATAATTTAGTTGAAAGATCAACGATACCTTGGATAAAAGCAGAAAATATAAAGACGGAAAATATAAATTAAAGGCTTAAAATATAAATGAAGCATTGTTGGTATTGGATCTCATTAATTGATAACATATGCATTTTTATAACCAATTAAACACAAATCAATCATCTGTCTGATATCCTTACGCATCACCCACAACAGAGGTTATGTCTAACGCAACGTCGAGAGAACAACCACATTGTCTCATTGGTGATGTCTCACGCAACTCAACAACACAGAGCATTAAGAACTAATACTCAAGCAAATGTTAAGCCTAAATCTATGTGTAGAGTCTATAACCTAACATATAATCATCCTAGATCCAGATCTAAAGAGTATATTTCTATAATGGTTCAAATCAAAGATAAATAAGTAAACAAAGATGATATCCATATCAACTTCATGATTGATTCATATAAAACGTCAATGATCAGAATACGTACATACATTTAACCCTTTTTACATGCATTCAACTAATTTTCCAAATGTAAGTGAACATAGTTCTTCATCTCTATTATCACACATCCTCACAATATTGCATTGATCCTACTCATGCTACATATGCTACTAATAAACACAATACAATAAAAAATACAAGTGAATATCAACTTACAAGACCATGTCAAAATTTTGCTCATTGATAGATGAATATCTTAAGATATAAGATTTGAGAAAGGTTTTGTCAAGACCAACAAATAAGAAATCAAAGACAACATCAATATTGAATCCAAACTAGTTCACAAACATATATTAGAAGAAATACATAAGGTATCAAATGATTACATCCAAACACAACAAGAGATTGAAGCTCTTACCTTCTCCCCTTAGGGTTTGTGTTTCTCTCTCTAAAAGATATTTGAAATGAAGAGAGATAAAGTTTTAATCTAAAAAAGTACAAGTTTTATTCTAAAAAATAAGAAAAGTACTTAAATAGATATTAAAAATTTTGTGTTATTCGCCTAGCGAACACCTTATTCGCTCAGCGAAGAATACTTTTGGGCACTTCAAGTGCCTCTGAAACAGTTAAACCGCCTTTGAAAAATATCTGAGTTCTTCGTGCGAGCATTTCTTCGCACAACAAACCTCTTCGCTACAGATTCGCCCAACGAACTTATGGTCCTTTTCTTATTGCCTCTAATCTGGGATGGTTCGCTGGGGCTTTGCTAGAACCTCGCACAATGAGCATTTGCTTTCACCTCGCTGGTGTTCGCACAATGAACATGTTGATTCTTCTTCATTTCTTTGACTTTCTTGTCCAATCCTTTATGTCTTAATCATTGATATTTTTCTTATATTCTGCACAATAACACACACATCAAAGAATCCAAAGGTATTTGCAATATAATTGAATAATCACACAAGAACAAGAAATAAATCTATTAAAACATGAGAGTTGGGTTGAAAAATGGCAAGAAAGATGGTTCAATTTAAGTCAAAATTTGCACTTAACAAACTCTTGAACATAGATCGCATGCATTGACAGCATACCTAATTTATTTGGTTGGAAATACAATTTTTATAGACAAGAGTGTCACTTATATTGATGTCGTCTACCTATGGTACTTCTTGGATTTCGATCAGGTCCATGAGTACAACTCGGGAGCAGTTTGCTTGGTCTATCTGCCCGAGCACGTCATGCGGTAGTTCGGCTACACTCAGATCATTCTCATACACCCAGATATCTTTGCTCCTCATGTCTTGATACTTAGACAGATATAAGATATGTTTGATGATTATGAAAGTCATCTGGTACCGTAGAAGGTACGAGGTACCATAGCTGAGTGCGATTGGAGCTACGTTGAAGGGTACACCAGATGGCTCTTCAGGGTGTCACATCCGTATATAGTGCATGCTACTTTAGGAGATCTGCCAAGACCAGCTCATCGAGAGATGCTAAAGGAGGAGCAGAAACAACTAGATCATACTGATGATGACTTGTCTAAGTGTCATCGCATATTGGAGATTGTGCAGGTAGGCATTGACATAGGTATCTTCCCTGATGGGTATGATGTCGGGCGAGTTCTAGATGTCATCATGATGAAGGCACAACGGATATTGTTGTACCGAAGACATCGCCGAAAGACAGGAGGAATTGATGGCCGAGGAGGTAGACGAGACAGAGGAGCTAGAGGAGAGGTTGTCAGACACACAGTAGTCTCTTATTATATAGTTGTAGTACTATGGTTTATACTTTATTTTGACGATCTTACTATTTTATTGATCTCAATTGTACGACATTTTCGACATATATTAATATTTTATTTTTGTATGACATTTTTGGTCCATCTGAAATTATGTACATCTATTTTTTAATTTTCAATTGTACGGTATATTTTAAATTTTCATCTAAACACAGAGAAACAACATATAACATGAAATACTTGTTCTGATACGTTTCAGAGATGTATCTCCAGAATAATCATGAAAATGCATCTCCAATGCATTTCAAATGTAAATGACTACTGAATAAGACGTATTGAATGTTTTAAATTATTTCAGAGATGCATCTTCAAAATATTTTAACATTTATTCAAAAATTAGTCCATCCGAAGATACATCTCCACAAACTAGAAGCATTTAAATAATTTGACATGATGGCTAAAGTATTAAGGATGCATTAAGAAATTCTCTAAATTTATTTGTATGTCATAAAGTTCAAATAGTTGAGAGAATCCATTTTAATTTTATTCACTAAAAGAGTAGCGAGTGTAAGAAAGTATATTTAAGAAGTGCTTTGCTAGCAGCACTCCCTATATGTTCTTCTAAAGCCAGCCTTAGTTCAGACGCAAAGGCAAACATTACTAAATAGCTACCATATTAAGACACCACCAACACAGTTCACAAAAGGTGTTACAAATGATATTGTATACAATTCATTTCGTTTCTTGTCATGATTTTTAAAAGTATAACCAAACCATGAAGTTATTTATATACACAAATATCTCTAGGATTCTCATATAAGCTCCCAACAGACAAACCGAAATGAAAAGGGCGCAAACAACCAATATCTGTGTTCATCTCCAGCATCTACAATGTTACAACATTCAGTTACAAAAGCCTGTAACAGAAACCCACAGAATAGTACAACACCAAATTCGACGAGTGCAAGGAAGGCAATCTTTATGCCGTGCCTTAATCCCTTCATCCTCATCACAGCCACCGTATAATAACAAACGTGTAATAGCCCCATATCAGCCTTCAAGGCAGTGGCCACAGTGCAGCAAGTGTTTCTAAAAGAGAACCCGAATTTTCATCGCCGTTGATTGCAAATCTGACATGTGGTGGCAGATTTGATATTCATAGAGGAACAATGGTCGCAGCTCCAGTGACTATCATCAGACGTTCTGCTGGTTCGCAAAGTTGCCTTTCCTCTGCCAACTCTCCCCTTGCTGCTCCCTGCTGCATTTTTTGAGCTCGTTGCTCTGCTGAAGGTAGCTCCATTACCATCTACATCTGCTAAACCATTCTCTAATGCCCTCACTAAATTCTCGAAGTAATTTTTAGTCACACTACAAAAACATATATATCAGGAAATCAAAATTAAGAATATATGGACAAAACAAGGGCAGATTATATTTTAAGAAATTAGAAGAAATATATACCTAGTCAATCCAGCTAACTTTGTACGAAAGTCATTAAATTCTTTAGATGGGCCTTCCGCGCTGAGGAATTGCTGTAGTTCTTTTTCAGCACATTGATGAAGTCTCTCTAGACCAGATTCTGCTTCACCTGAAAACAAATTATAGTTGAGTATTAATAATGGGGAAACCGCCAAAAAGTTACAAACACGTTTCTAATTAAACTTGAGACTGAAAATTTAAACCTTGCAAGTACTCAAAGAACGGTTTTTTTGCACGCTCGTGCTCAGGTAAATAGTATCCATAAGCATACGTCCATTTCAGCACTCTCCTACACTCAACTATCTGGAACAACAAAAATAAATATTGATTAGAAAGCCTTCTATTTCACCTTGAAATGAACTTAAGCAATTGTGGTTGCTGTCTGACAATGAAAACCAACATAAAGATTTAAGAAAATAAAAAGTCTCTAGTGAAATGACCAGCTTCAAGAAATAGTTCAATGAATAACAACAGCATTAGAAACTGTTCCCGGGGGAGAAGAACTGGTCTACACTTACAACCAAAAAAAACACATCAAAACTTAATCCATCACAAAGGAAACTGAACATAATCATTTACCTGCAACCAGGCCTCAGTAATGAACTTCAGCTGTGACTCAGGTTGGCACTGTGTATCACTAAGCTTCTCAATCTGCGACCCAAAAGGGAAGGAAAGAAAAGAAAGACGGAAAGATGAGGATTAACAAACAACTATATCATCCCTAGAAGTATAAACAATACATTATACAAAGTAAAAAATAAAAAGATAAAAAAATCTAATTACTCAGGGAAACTAAGCTACTATTTTAGAAATGGCATGTTCCTCAAAAGGTCGAAACATTTTTTTTGTCAAGACATAAAACATGCTTTAAAAAGAGATACTACGATTACAGGTAAAAAAAGAGTTATCTCAGTTGTCAAGGTTACAAACTATAACACAATATATGGCTGAACACATCGAAGAGATGGCTGAGCACATGCTACTTACATGAACAGTTTGCATCTGATGTAGATCGGCAAGAGCTTTCTGCCTTGACTGTGAGACAAGAAAAAATATATTGCACATGTTATATTAAAAAAGAATATAAGCACATAAGAAACATTCTTAAAACAGAATACTCAAGAAAATTAGACAGATTCCGGGTTAAATGCATATCCAGAATAGTAACACAGAATACGGTTTATAAAATAGAATTAAGGACAAATCAGCCACAATCGAGAGAAGTCACCAACTTACCGGTTAGCCTTCCATTCCATGTAAGTATGCATTTTTAAAATAACGAAAATATGAAGCATATCAAAACATTTCTTATTAATGAAGCATTCAACATTGTCAAGGACCAACTCACACAGCAGCTTTAACATTCCTAATTTACGTGCATTGACTTAAGTAACGGGTTAAGTTTTTAGGAGAGTTGTTCCTTGGTGTGTTGAAACTAAACTTCTTATAATAAGAATGAGAGTAATGATGAGAATCAAACTTAATACCACCTGCTTAACGCAGAACAATAGTCCAATTATTTATAATGTTTTAATATATAAATCTGATGATTGTTAAGAATGTGGTTGGGCCTAACTCAACCCTACAAAACCGGTTGATAGAGTGAGGATTGCCCCCACTTATAAACACATGTTCATGCTATATATTGTCCGATGTGGGACTCTTACACACCCCCTCACGCTCAGGACTGGACAACTGAAGCGTGGAAATAAATGGTGGGTGGCCCGATAGCGGAAACCATAGAAGGTGGCCCACCGGATCTTAAACGAGGCTCTGATACCATGTTAAGAATTGTGGTTGGGCCTAACTCAACCCTACAAAACCGGTTGATAGAGTGAGGATTGCCCCCACTTATAAACACATGTTCATGCTATATATTGTCCGATGTGGGACTCTTAACAATGATAACTTTGTTACTTGGGATATCTATATCATTCCTTAACTTTACTGATTTCATTTGTGGTGCCATATAAATTTAGAGGAAAATTAAGTTTTATGGAGATTATATAAACAAACGCGTGCTCTTTGAATTCTGCTAGACTTAAAGAGGAAAATCAAAATTATTCATACTACCAAATAATCTGAGAATCAAAGGTAAGAGGCACATTTAAGGTAGTTAGATAATACCAGCATGCCATGTTAATGGACACAAAGTACATTAGTACTGATAGTTAGGAAACCTCACCCAATTAGTCGTAACTCAATAATTTAGTTAGTTAGAGGGTTAGGTTGTAATGTATATAAATGAGAGAAATGACAAGGGAGAAGAGGGAAGGTATTTTGTCAAATGCAAGAGAATAGGGGAGATCAATTTAGTTTATGCGGGAAGATCAGTCATGGATGTTACTTACTATGGAAATTGATGGAAAGATATTAGGGATCTGAAAAAGACCTATACATGGATAACAATTTGAAAGGGAACAAAATGATCGGGTGCTGCTAGGAAAGGTATTATAAAAGGCTTTAGGAAAAAAAGGAGTTTAAATTGGATATGTTCAATAACATAGATATTTACAACAGTTCGCAAGTAGAAAATATGGAAATACGGGAGTTTTCTATACAACTATTTGCATATGTATATAATTTAGGATGAAGAGTCGAGAGAACAAATATATTGAAAGTTAGAAATATGAAGACAAACCTTCAACACAAATGGTTTCCACCTAAAGGAGTAAAATAGACTATGAAATGCAAGTTAAACAAAAGACACAAATTGTGGCTTAAAGGTAAAAAAAATTGAAGAACATACACAATACCACAAGTTGCACGTTTCAAGTATTTTGGATCCAATATAGGAAATGATGCCATGGAAATAGAGGAAGATGTTAACCATAGAATCCACATAGGATGGTTGAAACAAAAGAATGTTTGCTATGTAATTTATGATAGAAAAGTACCAATCAATTTTAAACGAAATTTTTACTGCACAAATATAAAATTTTGCTGCAGAGATAAGACTATTACGATAGATGAGTGATCACACAAGACAACCTATGATAAGAAATGAGGTCATAAGATAGAAAGTTGGGGTAGCTCCAATTGTAGAAAAAAATAGAGGCGCTATGGAAGTTTTAAGTATGCATGGAGAAGACCTACAGAAGTAGCAGCAAATACGAGGGGGTATACCAGATGAAGGTACTCAAATACTAGTTAAATTAAGAGAGACCAAAGAAAACTATAGGCCAGACCATTAGGGGAAGCATAAAACTAGATAGTCTGTATGTGAGTCGAAAAAGAACTCTGTACCAAAGAGTACTTTAGATTTGTCAAAGGGATACCCAGCCAGCAGGAGTACTCTTCTTTGTTTATCAAAGAAGTGTCTTGCAGGAGGAGCATTGTCTAAATTCTCATTCACTATTACTATCATAAAACCCAAGTTGTTAGTGTGAAGGCACATTAGTTGTTTTCTGTTAAATTTAATCTCCAATGAACACAAAATACATAAGGAGACAAATTCCTAAGACATAACTACTGAACCAGTAAGTATCAAGTGATCCTTACAGATTGGTTGCTTGCCCACCGCTCATAATAATGTGTGTATCTCTCCAATGAATTCTTCGCCATTTCTCTTCTTCTTTCAGTATCATCATACTACATGCAATAAATTTAGTTTGAAGGAACATATCATTATCCAAATAGCTGTGGACAGAACAGTGAGCTAATTGTAGCCAGAAACATGAATCAAGAAAAGTTTGTTTATCAAGTGTCTCTTACCACTCCTTCTTGCTTTGCTGCTTCATAACGATTGCAAGCATAAAATCCACCGGTTCTTTCACCATGATCTGACCATGCACCAAGGCATAGCCTATGTGGATAAAGTGTATCAAACTCATGAACTAAATCAGTTAAAAACATGGTGGGGTAAAAAAAAGAAAATTCATACCAGCAAAATTCAAATTTACAGGGTGGAGTGCACGTGATGTGCATGCACCCTTGATTTTTTTCAATTGGCCGCTTGCACTTTGGACATGGCTTTGAGTTAGCAAGTATCCTGCAAGTCATTAAATTAACAGTCAACTCGGGTTCTCAAATCACAACTAAAAAAAAGCCACAACTTATTCATGAGTCCTAAAATACTCCATTTAAAGTATTCATTTAAAAGATAAGATGCCTTTAATTTGTGAGAATTCACCATTACTCTATCTTTCTACTAAAAGAAATCTGTATGGGCAAAACTCTTAAAAATCTGTACCAGTTCATGTTTTCAGACTCCGCACTGTTTTTCAATATCCACTTTACCACAGTGCCACAGTCTACTGGACGATGAGCCTCCTCGGTGCACTGTAGATTCAGTCACATCAGTCAGGAGAACAAATCAAGATTATAAAATCTAATATTGTAATAATTAGAAACAATCCCGGCATAACTTACATTCCAGCAAAAGCTATACGAACAGAGGCAAGAGACATCATAATTTCCACCTCCGGCATCATAAGTAACAGCATATTCACAGCCAGGGGCAGGACACCACTTTGACTAGACAAAAGAAAAGAAGAAAAATAATAAGATTATTACAACAACCATAGAGTAGAAATATAAATACTGATCTTGATTTAGAAAAGTAGAAAATGTTAATAATCACATAATTTTGGAAACGATTTAGAAATATAAATACTAGTTTAGATTTGGCCAGGATATAATGAATGTGTCCAATGAATAATTGATTCAATATATAATAAATAATGAATGCATGAATCATGATGGAAACGAAACATGAAGAACACATAATGCATAATTCATGTTTAATGAATAATTGCATACCTTTTTATTGTCTTCAATATAAGATCTAAGAAGATAACGGGTATACTTTTGTTTATCTTCATCACATGCTAATAAATCAATCATATCTTGACCAATAGCAGCCCCACAGGTGGGTTCGGGACATCTCAACATCAAACATCCAGGGCCATCATTAATGGACGTGCTGATATATCCTAGCATGCCGAAAAAGACAAAATTTGATTTGAAAGAATAAAGTAAGAAGAAAAACCTGAAGGAAAGGAAATGAACTAGACAATAATTATAACATCTAAATAATTGAACAAAACAAACTCACAAAAGCAAGTCGACAAAGCTATAATTACAAAAAAAGAACTATAGATGGGTAGGGGAAACTTGTACCAAATTGCATATTCTATCATCCAAAATAACAAATAGGCCATATATTCAACTCAATGCCCAAATATGATCTGAGTTAACAAAAGAAGAGGAGAACAGAATACAAAACACACCTTCCCAGCATGAGTAACAGTATGGATGACCACAAGAAGCCATTCCAATCCCAGAACAAGGATAGTTTTCAAAACAGATGCCACATGTAAGCTGGTCACAGAAGAAACAAAAATTATAAAGAAATACAACACCCGCAGAGGAGAAAATAACATCCAGCAATATCATCGAACAGTTTTAAGACCCATCCATCCTAATCTCACCTCTCTAGCATTACAATTCTGGACAACTGGCTTTTCCAACAAGCCAACCGCTTTTCGGACTCGCTCTTCATCAGCAAACCATGCATCATGCACTTTACTAACACTCCTGCAACACCAATTAATCTCTCAAAACAAGTATATATGATAAGCAGCAACTACTCATCTCTTACACAAGCATACATTGAGCAGCAAAAATCTCATGCATCATGCATATTTAACGCAGGCTCAAATGCACTTACCAATTGTAGTGACGAAGTAGTATACTTGCAAAAACTCTTGATACAGAAAGAACAGCTGCAACTCTACTGATGTCATCTTCCTGCCTCACATGGATATCGGAATCCTTCAAGATGGTAAAATTTTGCTGAAATCCAACCAAACCAGACTAATCAGTCACAATAAAATTGGTATATGATTGCAGAAACAAACGTAGTAATTGATATTCTAGGACTCACATCCAATCCATTCAAAACCAACAACAACAAAAAAAAAAAACAAAGACAACAAAAATAAAAAGACATAATCTAACCAATGTAACCAACATCCTATCTCAAAATAGCAAAGCAATACTTTTTCCAACAAACAATAATCACTAAAGCAGTTTCATAAGATAAGAAAAAAAACAGGTTCAGAAAATATGTTCCTAAATCAGAACTTGTTAATTTCTATGGCATGTAACATATTTTAAGGAACCAATTTTACATTAAAAAAAACAAATTGAGAGATACCTCAGGACGACGAGACTCAATCTTATCGGCATCGTCGAAGTAATCACCGGCATCATCATCGTAATCGCTGTAATAGTCCAAGGCAGCATCATCGGTGTCGCCGCTGTAGAAATCGTCATCGTCGAGGGACTCCATGTCGTTGGCATCGTGCATATCATCCTCGGAGTCCATTTTTAGAAAGAAGGAAATAAAAAGTTGAGCGAATTTCGGGAATCTGACGATCGAAAATCGGTGAAGTGAGAGAAAGGGAGAGAATCTAGGGCAAGAGAAATTGGGAATTTGAAGAGAGAAGAAAATGTGTGTTGAGTGTTGAAATTGGTTTAATCAATGATTCGTTTGATATGGAATTGAGAATTGTTGGTATGGAAAAAGAGTGAAAGAAGAAAAGTTGGAAGGAAGTTGAAACTTGGAAGATAAGGACCAAAATTGAACTGAATTGAGCTATAGAGAGTTTTGATAAGTCAGCAACAAAAGAAGAAACTGAACTAAATATTAGAAGTAAATTCATGTCATAAATCATACTACCAAATGCAATTATTACTCGGCAGACAAGTAAAAGACACAACATGTTTACTTTTAATGTTTTTAATTTTTTTTTAAGGGTTAAATATGATAATGGTGCCTTTAAATATCTTGATTTTTGTTTTGTTGAAGCTATTCTATCTAATTTTTAATGGATGATTTTTGTGAATAAATGAATCAAAAAGATAAAAAAAAATATTTTTCTATTAGATTTATTTAAAAAATTAAAATTAGAATCGAATATGTTTGTTGTTTGTTTCGTACTATTTGATAAAAAAAATTAAAATCATTTTTTAGTTTTTTTTTCCATATTATTTATCTTTTTCGTTAATTCTAATTCGCAAAAGTTGGCGTGGTATGATAGGCGACTTTTTAATTTTTTTTATAAGCAAAAGACTTTTATTAATGAGTGTCATGCCAAGTGCTCATACCCCAATCAAGTTCTAAATCGACATATGGTCTTGGTGCTCATTACAGTATGCTTCAAAACGCAATCCAAATATGGATGGTTCGACTTACAAGTTAAGTGAAATTTCAGTATCTCAACTTGCCATACCAAGTGCGTGCTTTTCTAACCTTTAAAGACGATTGGGTGCTTGTTATTGTTGAGAATATTTTTCCAATTGTTGGATCTCTAAATGTTAGTAATGATATTGGCCTTTATCTGGGCTTCTTCCTGCACACCCTTATGAATAGAATATGTTGGTATCTTTCTCATGTCATTTTGGTGGATTGTTAGCATCGTACCGATCATCTCGTCATGTGGGTGACATTGGACTCTAGATAACAAGCGCAACTCATTAACAATACAAAAAATTCCACAAACTTGTTGTGGTGCGTCATCCATATATTTAATATTTTTAGCTATCAACTGCCCAACACCTATCGGCTCATGGTTCATAATAGACATAAGACTCATGCATCACTTCACAATAAACTCAGATTGATTAGAAGCGAATTCTAGAGTTTTCACACAAAAAGGACACTCGTGCCTTTTGTATTGGGAGAATTCATGAGGTGATAATTCATTTTCCCACCATTTCACACATTTTTCGCTTAGCTTGTGGCTGCGAGTCCTTCTATTTTGAATTCCACACACACTTGAAGGTTCTAAATTAAGTAAATAATTAATCACAGAAGGACTATAATTGATACGTTTACCTCGCACATAAGAAATGAACTCGATGTGAGGATGAAAAGCGGCATTAGCAAAAAATTCCAACCCAATAGACTTGTTGGTGTCTTAAATCAAGTTGTTAAATCTCTTCCATTGCTTTTCCTCCAACATTTCCATAAAATATGTGTGCCCATAAAATTTTGACTATCAAATGCTCTCTTGTGCACCACCTTGTAATTCAATACTTTGAAATACTTGTCGACATTAGCTTGCAAGATAAATTGGTAGTTTGGAAAAATGGGCACATCTTGAGTTAGTGGTGTAGTTGATGTTGTTACACGAGAAACACGACTTCTTTTTAGGGAAATTTCTCTGAAATAAAAGGATAATGTGTGTAATACAAAGAAATTAGAAACAAAAGTGATATAGAGAGTTTAGGAGTAGAAATGTTATTGCCAAGGTTGTTATACATAAAAGTTTCTTGAAATGACCTTTTTATAAGCACTTTTGCAGGCCCATCACAACTACTATGTATGTATCGCGACTGTGATATATAACAGCTTAATCCAACTGTCTGATTCTCTAATGTCTCTTTATAATGTCTCTATCGTGAACTATGAGATGTTGGACCGAACTCTAGTATGGTCGAATGGTAGCTTCTGGTTCGACAAGAATTAAGCATGAGGTCGAAGTATGTTTGCATGTTGTTGTCGGAGTAATGTGTGTTGTATTCGAAGTTTGTTCTAACATGCATTAGTCAATATTGTTAGGTTTTTAGCATGTTGAATTGGGCCTAGCTTGTAAGCCCAATGGTTTAAGTTAGCTTGTACCCTAAGTTAGCTTGTAATGGGTAATTGTTAAAAAGCCCATTAGGTTATTGTGTTATTTTTCTTATAAATAGGATGTTAGTCTCTCATCTTGGTATAAAGAAAAATAGGAAGATAAAATCCTAATTGTAAGAGAGAGAGACGTTATTTTGTTATTCTTGTATACTTGTAATCTTGTTCTAAGAGTAATGAAAAAATAGCAGTTTATAATCAATCTGTCATACCCCAAAATTTTCCCCCTAGATTCCATTAACATCCTAGGTGCATCAAACATTTATTATTTAACCTTAACCTATTTCAAGTTTGTCTTTGTCAAGAGGCAGATGAATTAGGGTTTCATATAGTCAAGAAATCAGGGTTTCTAGGGATTGATCAGTCAAGGTTTTTGGTTGATCCTCCACATAACAAGTCTCTATATAATCAAGGATATCACATGTAATCAATAATGAGTCCAATTTGAGGTTGTCACCAAGAGAATAGAAGCAGTATGGTGTAAGAACCCTAATTAGAGTTTCTTGTTGGAAAAGTCAACTGTAGTTTGACTTTTGGTCTAGAAGGTTTTATAATGAGGGAATTGTGGTCCACGAGGCTCATATGATCCAATTAAGTCTACCCAGGAAGTTTCAAGGCCTTGGGGAATCCAGAACATCAACAGTCAATTCGGAGATTTTCAACAGTTCGGTTCGTCTATCAGGAAAGTCAACTCATTGACCAACAAGGTTTTTACCCCAAATTGAAGCCAACCTTGTTTCCAACATCATTTCACATCTAGTTATGAAGTTTTGTGGAGATTTAATTAAGAATTGATAGATAACTTGCAAATCAAAAAACAAGGGTAAGTTAAAAAAACCTAATTTTGATCAAACTTCAAATGGTCACAACTTCCTAACCACACATCCAAATGGAATGATTCAAAACTTTTTAGAAAGGTATTAAGGAGCCTTAAAAAGTGTCCTAATGACCCATGAGAAAAAAATGAATGGATTTATAGTTATGAGCTCATCAAGTTATGAAGGATTTTAAACACTTAGGAATTTTAAGGTTTCTTGACTTGTAAGTCAAGAATTCAGCATTTTCACAAGGGGTTTTGACCTAGTTTCAAGTTGAATGGGTTCCTAACTCAAACATAAATGTTGTAGTACCTAATAAGGGCTTTCTAAAAATTAAAAGTGGGTTCCATAACTTCTCATGGTTAGGGAGAACCAAAGCTCACAAGTTGGCAAAAACTCACTGCTGCAAAACCAGTTCAGCATGGATGTCTTGATTCCAAAGCTTCTCAAATCAAGTCTAATCAAGGTTTAAGTATAATTTATGATATTCACATTGATAATGGAAGTTTTTAGCACCAGCTCCCACAAATTTGGCACAAGAATTGAAGAAAATTATTGTTTAATGCAAGTTGCAAATGTGAATAGTGAAGAAAGAGAAAAATGGTGGTTGCCCTCATCAAATCACCAACTATGCTGCAGCTAGTCACTTATTATCCTCTCAAGAATGATGAAAATTACATCTAGGGTATGGAGAAGCTCTTGCTAGGGTGGCTTGAGGTCACTAATGAAGATTTGCATTGGTTTCTACAATATTTCCAAGTTTAGAAGGCCAAAGTTGACATTTTGTATCAATCTGCCCATGTCTCTCACTCAAGACTCTTGGCTATAAATAAAACCTTACTCTCACATCCAAACTACACCAGTTCCATGCTAGAAACCAGCTAGAACTCTCTTCGTCACTCAATCACCAAGTTCTTGCAAGTTTGCACTAAGTTTCCAAACTTCTCCAAAATTTGTCTTGCAAAATCATTGCCAAAACCATTTCCAAACATTTTCTAACTCAAAAAATACTTTAAACACATCATAAATGATGTACTAGAGTTGTCCAATACCTCACATTATCCAGAAAACCATCCAAGCAAGAAGTCAACTATCAAAACCTCATATGTTGACTTTTCTGCATTTTGGAGAGCAGCCATCAAACCACTGCACTTCCTTGAGTTCCAAGACCACTCACACCTTACATATGACCTATACAAACAATCCATGATTGATTCACACTTTTGTAACAAGATTTGAGCAAGTTTGCTTTTGAAATCTTTGGACTTTTTGGTGATTTCTTTACTAGCAAGGCATTCTGACCACTAGCTTACTTGTAGGCTATTTTGAGCATCTACTCATCACCATTGGAGCATTCTCATACCATTAAGAAGCTTGTAGGATTTATGGCTTTCTTATTTCTCAAGCTTGCATCATAAGGCTACAAGAGGTAAGCCTACAACTTACACTTCTTATGCTACTTTGAGTTCTAGCTATGCTTTTGAGTTAAACATTATTTAGACATGTTTTGTGTATGTTATGTGTCATGTATGAACCATTTCTTGCAGCAAAATATGTATTTTCGAGACTGTCAAATTTCAGGCCACTAACTAGGTCCAAACTTATCACATTTTGCATAATGATTCCAATCTGCCAAACCACTCATGCATTTCTTGTTTTCTCTTGTGATAACCTCTATATATGATGCATATGTGATTTCTGTACACTTGTTTCACAAAGCACACCACTACACAATGTTGTTCATGTGTTATTGCATTTGGTTATAACCAAACTTGCCCTACCAATCATGCTATCGGGTTTTCTTGTGAGTTCATGGTATGGAAAAACAAATTGTACCATTGAATTCCTTGTTCAAAAACACACAATTTACACTTT